GTGTGGGTGGGGGGGGGGGGGGGGAGGGATCAGCAGTACAAGTTAGATGACCAGTGGATGCGGGGAAAAGATGTAGACAGACAGTAACTCATTACGGTCGCGATCGAGGAAGCACCTAGCGCCTAGCACTAACCTGCGCTAAGGACGAGCCGGCGAGGCCCAGCTGCACTCCATAGACTGGGGCAGTGGCGACGGTCACCATTGCTGCTCTTGGTTATCCTGTGCCCGTCTGGTCGTTTTGCCCAGACAACGGTGGACTTCCACCTGGGACATCAGGAGACGGCACGTGGGTGTATGGTGTTTTTTTGGTTGATCTGATGGCGCATTCTTCAAATGGGGGAGATGGCTCCAAGAACTGAATCACAGGGTGCAGATGAGTGGCTGCTGACCATTCAGGAGGGTTGTGATCGCTTGGGAAGTACGGTGGAGGCTTTGTCCGTGAGGGGAGGGGATTGGCTTGACGCGGAAGGGGGCGCGGGGACATCAGGAGACGGCACGTGGGTGTATGGTGTTTTTTTGGTTGATCTGATGGCACATTCTTCAAATGGGGGAGATGGCTCCAAGAACTGAATCACAGGGTGCAGATGAGTGGCTGCTGACCATTCAGGAGGGTTGTGATCGCTTGCGAAGTATGGTGGAGGCTTTGTCCGTGAGGGGAGGGGATTGGCTCGAGGCCGAAGGAGGCGCGGCTGCGCTGATTCCATGGCAGGATGACACGATGCAGAGTACGGTGGATGCCATCTGGGAGTTGGAGGAGGGGCCGGCTCCTCGGCTGGATGAGTTCGTCGACTGGCGGCAAGCGGAGACTCTGATGCAGCGTTGCTACCATCGTCGAGGAAGGGCAGGATTTGTGCAAGGCTTTGGTGGCATGGGCGCTGATGCAATTTAATGTGTGCGATCAGGCGCTAGACACGGGAGATCGACAACCACCACTTGAGAAGGCTATATGACAGAGACGCAGGCAGCCACAAAGGCAACAGTGGCAACAAAACCAACAACAGTAACTGCAACAACAACAGCACAAGTTACAGCAGCAACATCAACAACCACAAAATCGACATCAACAACGACGACAGCTACAGCATCAACGACAGCGACGATAACTGCTGCGCTATTGTCGATGACAAGCGCTCTCATATCCATTACAGCACCAACAACGGCGACGGCAACAGCAGCAACAACAACAACAACGGTGCCGGCAGTGGCGCCGGCAACAGCAGCAACGACAACAACAACAACAACAACAACAACAACAACAACCACAACAACAACACAACAACAACAACAACAACAACAACAACTACAACACAACACAACACAACAACAACAACAACAACAACAACAACTACAACACAACAACAACAACAACAAAACAACAACAACAACAACAACAGGTGATACTGGTGGCTGTGGCAACCAGGGTTGTCACAGCCCCGGCCCCGGGGGTCCGGTGCAGTGGTCCCCTGACCCCGGCCCAGGAGGGGC